CATATTTAATTTTTTTATTGGGCATATTATAGGGCATATATTACCGTTTTTTAGTGTAGAAGTCTCGAGCCCTGGATATTAATAATCAAGTTTTTTTATATAGGTGACTAAATGTTTTATATATTTATTAAAAATATAATTGATTAGTCAGACGATTTATATATCGGTATTGAGTTATCACCAGAACACATTTTTTATCAGAATAATCTATTACAATAATATAAAGATTATTTATTTATACTTAATACAATTAAAGATTTATTTCAAGTACATTATACATTTATGCTTCTAATGTGTCTACTTAGTGTCTTAGTACTCTAGTCTCCAATTATATTCAATAAATACTAATGTTTTGATGTATAACTAATTTTCGGTGTATAATTATATGCATTTACTGATACAAAATATGTTGCAAGTTTTCTATAAATCATGGTCTTAARCTATTATCATCAATATCATACATTTACAATGTCAGATCAGGTTTGACATTTATTTGTTCTTATTATTCTATGTTAGATGCCTTTATCGTATATATCTAATTAGTTATTTTTTTATTTTTTTATTTTGTTGTTCTAGAGCACTGCAAAAGGTCCTAGGTCTTACATGAAGTCATATGGCCGTGCAAAGTACTCCAATAATCCGAATAGTGTTGTACAAACAGCCATAAATTTTGATAAGCTTTTGTGTGAAAACACTAATAGGCCTACAGCGGCCAAATCTTCAGGTACTGTTGGCAAATGGGGTGTTACTTCATTTACTTCAATTAGAAGTACTAATTTTGTCACAGGTAATACAAATACAGGTAATACTATAAATTTATTTTGGTTTTAAATAATTAATAATAAACATTTTTAATTAAATAATTTATATTTTTTAAGGAAAACCTGAAGAAACATCAGGATCTCGATTTAGTGTAGGAAAGAAAAGACAACATCAAGAAGCTAGTCCTGCTCCTAAAATTGTTATACCAGAACCTACTTTAAATGTAGTAAGACCTAAGAAATTTTTTAAAAGCCGCAATGCTGATTCTAATAGATCTGACAGAAAATATGGTGGATCAGAAGTGACAAAGAAAACCAAAACAGTTATTCAAAAAACCCCAGAATCTTCTCCTGAAAAAGAAGACCGAAGTCCAGAATCAAAAGAATTGTCTTTTACATCATTAACACCGACTAAAGACCCGAGTAAGCCACCTATCGTTCTTCGAATATTTAAAGGTAAATCACAGTTAGTGAATGAGCCTAATTCTATTCAAAAACCTCTTCAAGCAATTGAAGTACCAGAAAGTAATGATCAAATTACCCCTACTATAACTACAAGAAGTCTTCGGAGACGAAACCCACAAACTACATATACTGAGCCAGAAACTGAAGAATCTCCTCCAATTATTGATATACCTAAAAAGAGACGTCAAGATAGGGCTAAATTCACAGTTCCCACTTTAAAAATTAATATATCTAAACATACTGTTATTAATCAAGATGATGAATTGAAATATGAAATAAATGAGAAAGAAACAACTAACATGAATATTGATAAATCTAAAATAGAACAATTAGAAAATGATCGCAATAAGTTATTGGCTGTATTAGAGGGTAGTGATGATTCTTTATCTAGCCCTAAAATGGATATTCCAGAAGAAAATGAAGAAGAAAAACTCGATGCAACTGATGATTTATTAAAACAACTTGAAGTGCAATTCACACCTGATAAAGAAACTTCTAGTAAGAAAATTGAGAAGAAAAAAGAAGATGTCAAGGTCCAGTCTGATATTCCTTCTTCAAAACATCGAGGAGTATTTGTAGAAACTGAACCAATTAAGATTGATGAAGATGAAGTAACAGAAAAAATGGTAGTAGACCCGCCAGAAACAGTAATACCAGCAAAGAAAAGTATTTTTAAATCTAGGAATGAGAGAAATAAGAAAGGTATGTTTCTTTATAAACATTCATGGGTTGATAAGGATAAAAAAATTGATGAAGAAAAGAAAGAAGAATCTACTCCAAGTACAAGTCCTGGTAGTTTTGAACAAAAACCTCTACTAAGAATTACAAAATCAACTGATGTATTTGATGATGATTTTGATTCAGTTACAAGTATTAAATGTGACAAAAAAGAAAAAGGAGTAAGTTTAATTATTACACAGGTTGATTTTTTTAATGTTAGATTAATTTTTAATATTTATCATTTCTACAACTTAATATTTTTTATCATTATATTTGTATTACAAGTTTTTATGTTTTTAAATGACAACTCAGAATTTTAATTTCATATTTCAAAATATAATATTTTTCATGGTGCTGTTTTTTGATATAAAAATAAAATTTCGTAAGATTGGATTATTAACTGTAACTTGAAAGTTACACTTCACTCATCAAAAATTTAAAAAATAATAAATTGAATCCAAAACTATTTGATTGAAATATAAAAATTATGGCATGATTCAAAAAAGTAAAAACTTTGAAAATTTCATTTTTAATGTCTTCAATTATAAAAAAAATAATATTCAAAAATGTTAATTGTTTTTGAAATAATGAGTGTCTTACTCTAAACAATTATCCTGTATATGATATCTTGTATTAGTTTTAGAATTTGTGCAAAGCAAGGAACATATTGGTTTTTTGAAAATATTCTTTTTTATTGAACATTATTTTGTCAGAATAGATTTTCTTGATACAATGAAAACTCTCTATAACAAAACTCTTACAACGAAAAACTCTATATTACGTAAATAACGTTAAGTTAACTTATAATGGTTGGTTTGATTTAAAACCTATTAATTACTCTCTATTACAAAAACTCTCAATAACGAAAGAAATCACATGGTCCCTTCAGATTTGTTATAGAGAGTTTTCACTGTATTTTCAATTAATGAACCCACCCTATTGGTTAATTTTGAATTCAGTTTAGTTTGTTATTTAAAGTAGCCAGTTTTTGATATTTCAAGAGTTTATTTAGAAATGTAGAAAATTGACAAAATTAAAAATGTTGAAAAAATGAAATTTTTGAATTAAACTTCTTTCTGCATTATTTTCTTAATATAATGACTTAAAGCCTATAGATTGTTTTTAAGTACCAATTATAATAATTATAATTTAAATCAATTTAAAGCTACAGGATCTTTTATTTGCTTGAAAACGTATCTGTATAAACAGAAATTAATCAATAAAATGAAAACATATTTTCTCCAGACTTAGAAAATGGCCTTAAAAAAATAATGGTATTACCTTATTGCACTTTTTTTGATCTTTATTGAAAATATTTTTGTGGATATACCTTTTTAACTTAAAATATTGCTCTATTTAAAAATGTCCTAGTACCTATACCAAATATAGTTAGTAAATACTAAATTTTATTATTAATCAGTATTGCAAAACAAATTTATGCTAAAGTAAAATTWTTCAATAATGGTTTTACTACAAATTGAATAACATAAGTAGATTGTTTTAGTTACCTACAAGTTATTTACTATTTTATTGGTTTTAAAGTTATATAAATATATTTGAAAGAAAAACATAATTTAAATATTGACGCAACCTTAATTATATTATAATGTTTTATTGATTGTATCATACAATTTAAATTATTAAATTTAAATATTTTTGCTCAGAAACCTCAATTTTTTTTTTTTTTTGGTTTAGTATTATACTGTGGTCCGAAATGTTAAAAAAGCTCACCAAATTCAAGAGTCTGGAGAATTTCAAGAGTTTAATGATGATGTTGAGTATATTTTAGATGCTTTACAACCAAACAACCCAATTGGAACTAGGTATACTAATTATTGGTATTAGCATTGATTATTAATACTAGTACTCACAGTGTTTTATTATTCTAGATGTCTATCTGCAATAACATTGGCCACTAAATGTATGACTCCAGCTTTCAGGATGCATGTTAAGGCACATGGAACAGTTGCTAAGATATTTCGTGCATTACAAGATGCTACTAAAGATCAAGTATTTATATTTTTTTTTTATTTTTTTAGATAATTTTAAGTAACTATGTCTTATTATTTTTTAGAGCTTAGGAATGTGTACAGCTACCGTTATGTTTGTTTTAAGTCAAGATCGTTTAAATATGGATTTAGACCGTGATTGTCTTGAACTTATGTTAAATTTATTGGAGAATGATACGAGTCATGATCAAGCTCTTGATGATTGTGGTCTTACTGATCATCAATTACAAAAGACACGTGAACGAGTTATTCAGTTGTGTTCTGAGATTAAATCTCAAGGAGCTGCTAAATACTTAAACACAGATAACATCACTGTAGGACAATTAGCTATGGAGACTCTTTTAAGTCTTACTAGTGTTCGAGCTGGTGAGTGGTTTAAAGAAGAAATGCGACAGCTTGGAGGTCTTGATCATATTGTACGTACAGTTGTACAATGTTGTAATCATGTTGACTCGATGACAAATGTGTGGTCCTCAACATTACTCGATCGTATTAAAAAGGTGGATCGTTGTTTAAGGATACTTGAAAATGTAAGACATATGTTAGTTATTTTTGAGTAAGTTTTATTTCATTAAATGGTTATTATCTATTGTATTTCATTTTTTAGGTAACAATACAAAATGAAGAAAATAATGTGTATTTATTAGACTTTGAAAATGGAATTTTGATTGACACATTAGTTAGATTGTTTAAAGTATGTGATTATGAGATACCGTTATATCCAAGTTATGATGTAAATGACAAAGACTCAATAAGTGCAGTGTTACGAGAATGTCTAAGAGCTAATTTAAAAGTGCTTATAAATTTGTCACACGATTCCAATCAAATAAGTAAGTGTTAATATAAGTAATTAAATATTTGTGAGTTAAAAATAAATTTGAGTACTATACTATTGTTATGTTTACTACTAACTAGCTCATGGCTCAAAAATTGGACAAAAAGATGGAGTTATTGACACAACTTTGCATATTTTTCTTAAAGTTCCAGAATATGTCCCTCATGATGAAAAGTTTGATATAATGTTTTCGGTAATTATATAACATAGTGCTCATTTAWTTATAATTGCATTTTGTCATATAAATYAAAATCATTTTTTAGACCTTAACATTGCTGATTAATCTAGTTGAGATCAATGTGGAAAATAGGAAACTTATAGCAGAAGCTAAAGCTCCTGATACTAGTGATATTCAAGACAGTAAGTTACATTTTTTTTAAATATAGTTTTTAAATACACATTATAAAATTGTGTTAGTAGCAAAAAAAACATTCGCAATCGAAGCACTAGTGAAAATGTTCTTCCAACAAGAAGAATTGGCTAAGACTGAGGAAAAAAAGACTGATGAAATATTAGATGGCGAGAACAAACAAACWGAAAAGCCAGCTAAAGACGCTCCATTAAAAGCACATACACAATATATTGAGGAGACAATTTCATTACGTAAGTATAATATAAATAATTATAGAGAAGTAATATAAAAATATGTATTTGATATTATATTATATTAATGTTATTGGCAAAAATGTAAATAAAAAATTTAAGAGGATGTGATACCCGTATGTGTTGTCTCCGTCTAACAAGTGAGTAACTTGCCAAATTTTATGCTCAGTAGAACACGTGTAGCCCTGTTGGTTTAAAATGTAGAGTAAATTAACCTCTAATAAAATTTAAATGCAAGATTATTATCTAGAAAACCTCATATGCTTTTATCATATTTTAATTTAATATCTAATATTCATAGCTTACTTTAAAATTAAAATATGATACAAAGCATATGAGGTTTTCTAGATAATATTCTTACCTTTAAATTTTATAAGAAGTCAATTCACTCTAAATTTTAAACAAACAGAACTACATGTGTTCTGCTAAATCTAAAAATACTTTTAAGACGGAGAAAAATCATGCAGTATGCAGATATCACGTCCTCTTAACGATAATGACTAGTCAATAACAATATTTCTGATCCAATTAGACACTACAGACTAGAAAATAATGGTTATGGCCATTATTTTCAGGCAATGAAAAAAAAAAAAAACACATCATGGTAAAATCAATATATTCCTCGCTCCGCTCAGAATCTAAAAATATTAACCTTAGATTAATTTTATTACAATTTTGAAATGTAATTTAATTTAAAAAAAAAAAAAACTACCCCAATATTAGTCATTGATACTTGTCTATTAGTAATTAAATTACATTGTCATTTGTATTGCAAGATAATGTTACTTTAGAATATTAATTAGCAGTTAATAAGTAATGAATTTCATGCAATTGAGAAATGTGATTTTTTAAATTTCTTTTCCTAATTTATAGTCGTTGAAAAGGCGGGTCAAAATATGCAACACACAATGATTGCTTCATTTATTGCAATTTTACTTGGTTATATTACAATGGATAACAAGGTAATTATTTAAACTTTTAACAATTGCAGTAAAATAACTCTGTATATTTATTTATAGGAATACCTTGAATTTGTTGGTAAGCATTTACCAGATGGTCGGTTTACAGCTATGTTGGCTGTTTTGGATAAATATTTAAATTTCATGAAGCTTACTACTGCTGTAAGTTTAATTGGACAATTCATACTTAATTCCTGTTTATATGTAATTAAAGTGAAATATAAATTATTGATCTATTATATTATTATATTTTAGCCTGGCACCAAAGGAATAAAATCTGTTGAAATGATTATAAAGCATTTGACAAAATGTGAAAAACTACAAGCTGATGCATCTGATCTACCTAGCACTTCAGCATAACTAAATAGAGTGGTTATATTCTTTAGGACCAAGAATAGCATAATTTAATGTTTTAATATTTTTACTTATGAAACTTATCCTTTTATTTGCATATAAATGTATTRATTTTGTAATTTATTTGACTGTAAAGTATTATTTCTTTGTTGTAACAATAACGGATTAATACAATCTTTTCCTATTCTGTACGACTTCTTTTTTGTCGTGACATGTAATGTTTTTAATTTTTAATTGTCTCATTGAAAATAAATTTAATCCGTCTGTTATACCTAAGTAAATTTTGTAAGTTGTATTTTTAATTAATTTTTATGTACGGTTCTTGAATTTAGTGTTATAATACCATAGGAAGTAATATTACCTTTTTAAATTTATTATTAAATTCATAACATAAAACAATACACGTTGTATTTTCATGCTCCTATTGTTTATATTATTGTAATTATTATTTAAAAATGTTATGTTTAATATTATAATAATGGTATTAACTAAATAAATAGCCTTTTCTAATTTGTCATAAATTAATATATTAAACACATTTATAATATGAAAATTCAATTCTTAAAATTTAGTGTTCAGCTACTTCAAACACTAGCTAAATATGCCAGGTTTATTAATTTTWAACAGTTAATACATAATTAGAATAGATTCATTTGATAAATGTATGAAGTACATTTTGTCTAAGCTTCTTATTCTATTGAGCATTTCATATCTTGAAAAYTGCTACATTTTAAAATATACRAATCTATAAATTCCAGAATGTCAAGAATCTTTAGTTAAATAACCCCTTAATAATGATAAGTTTTAACATAATTAATCGGTCAAGTTAAGAGGAAAAACATTACCAATGTATGTTAAAATTTTTCTGTAAATACTCCAATTATTTCATACTTTTTTCTTCCAATGATTGCTAAAAAAAAGTTAKAATCTTTTGTTGGTTATAATATGATAGTTATGATTTAACTTACTCAAGTAGTCAATTTTAATTTTAAATGTCTTCAAACAATGATGAAAAAAACACTCATTATAAAATATATATTATTMTTTACATAAAATAATTTAGGCAATTTATTTTTAGGAATAACAAATTAAATTTGTTTTTTTTATCAATTCTATGTTATCTTATGGTATTGAGTGTTTATCTTAGGCATTTAAAAATATTTTATCTGAATATTATTGTATTGTCTTAGCTCTGAGGACTTTCTGTTATAATATATCAAAACTTTACAACAATACTTAAGTTACTTKATTTTTAATGAATATGTCCTATATCCTATTATTTTTTAATATTTCATTTTGAAAAATATTTTTCATAGAAATAATCGATAACAAGAATTTCTCTTTCAWWWTGATTACAGTAAGAAAAAGTACAGTTTTTCTTGATTTTTTAAAAATTTTWTGAGAAAACATTTTACAATCTACATGTATTTTTCTATTGTATGATATTATGAAAATAGGTTTTAACTAAAATGTTTTAAAGAAATTTGTTTAAACACTTTTTAAGAAGAATACAACCATTAGTTGTTCATCAAACACCTATAAAACTAATCTATAAAAATAATCAATGCTTGTGAAAGTTGGAACAATAGGTTTTTTCATCCAGGTCGGAAATAAACATCCCAATTAAAAAAAAAAGTGTGAAAAATATTTGAGTAAGTAAATTTCAACATTATTTTAATCAAACATAAACATGAAACATTAAAATATCTGTAAAATTATAATATAATATATAATATGTATATATATTTATTATTTGTTATTATGAATGTATTAAGCAAATAGTAATTACGATTATCATTAATATTATATTTTATATATATTTTTAGCAATTTTTCAGTGATTTCCGGGGATTTATAGGTGTATTTTTAATTATCACTAGGAATTTTAGAAGGCGAGATGGAACTATGAATTCTGTGATTGGCTGTCTTGAAACGTAGCAGTGCAGTAGAACTTTTCTAGTATTTTAGAAAGATGTTAGAGCTGAGTGCACTATATAGTATATCTTTCTATTTTAATTTTTAGACTCACACGTAACATGTACCTAGAAAATGTACGTTCAGTAGAACTAATTTTGTGTTCTTAATTTAGAATATTAGAGTGAATTGACCTACTATMAAACTTAAAGGTGAGAAGATTATCTATACATTTTTAATAAAAAGTTGAGTAGGTTTTTAAAAATACACAAAAATTGAAATAACGTAAAAAAGCCTACCTACTTACAATCACAGATAATTTAACATAGTTTTACGAGTATTATAGTTCAATTAAAGATTATTTAATTATAGTATTAAATCACCACGCGAATTTGCTATGTTTGGGTCAGAGAAGGTAAAACAAAGTTAATATACTCGTTAATTTAAAAACAAACATTTTATTGTAAATAGATTGAAGTTTTTATAGAACACTATTTAATGTTAAGGTTACTTGAGTGATGTCAGCAAGGATAATATTAAATATTATTTAAGGTCCATAATGTCAATCAATATTGAACATGAAGGAAGAGAAAATATCACCCTGGTAAACTGTGGTAAACCTACATCAGCAGATATTTTTTAGATGGTAGAAAAGTTCTTATTTGACAGTCATATGTACTAACCTCGAAATGTTGCTCATTTAAAAAAGGTTCATAGATATGAGCACGATGCCGTTGTATCAAATATACCTGAGCGACATATAATAACACAGCTTACTGTTATACTTTTAAGAAAAATTGTTTATTTTTAACATCGTTGAATTTCGGTATAATTATAGTGTACCTACAATTACTTTGTACAATTTTGAAAATTTTGTGTTATGGCTAGCTTATAATTTTTATTATACGCGTATTAACACCATATCTTAAATCGGTATCAGACAGCTAGTAGACTTGAAGAAACGTAGATATTAAAATAAAAATGGCAACTAAAATATAAAATACCATTTTGAAATTGTATAGAATTGCAAATAAATAACTCGGCAATATGTTMCATAAACAAAAAAAAATCCTTAATAGCATACGTTTTTCTTTATTTTCCATACTTTAAATTTTGTATTTCATGATTATTATCTATTAGGTAGGTACCTACTATAATCTATTAGTATAGATAATAGGATAAAGATAAACCCGTAAACCTATATTATAATTAGGTATATTGTTTAATACATATTAGATGTGCATATATCAACGTTGAAATCAATAGCACAAGCTGGCTGTATTGAATAGGTAGGCCTCTACCTGTAGGTAATGTAAAACTTCGTTCTATGTTTCTGTAAAACACTTTTTTAATTTTTTAGTCATATTATAACATTATAACACAATATCTATGATATATAAATAAATATGTTTGCACTTGGTAGCGTTCAGTTAAGAAGCTCAAAAATTGATACATGATGTATGACGATCTWATATAATATTATGCTCTATATAGATCTAGGATTTCTATTACCTAATACAGTAACACCTATATGGCTATAACAATATTATATTATGTATAACATATAAGTAGGTATAGGTACCCGATATATAATATGTATTATATATGTGCGTATATACAAAAAAAATTTATATAATAAAATACATTTAGGTATATAAAATAATAATGAATAATATCATGGTTAAATGTTAAAAATTATATATTATCGTCGTAGCTCGTCTACGTGCTCGAACACATCACGTACGTTGCGGTGCACGCGTGGTCAGTCCGCCGCTGCAAGATGTCTTTGGTTGCCGACCGGATGGTGACGTCCGTGCCGGCGTTCAGCTGGACTACCATGAAGTTCTCGAAGTCCACACCGGTGCCAGTCGCCTTTTTTATGGCCACCGCATGCCTGAATCCCAGTGCTCTGCATAGCGAATGGTAATCGACGTCTGTGTAGTCCTCTGTTATGCACTGCTCGTGCCAGTGYCCGTACGACCTTACAGCCAATACGCCTTCGTTTCTGCAGCATAAATGAAACACCGTATGTAACGTATAGCCATCATCAATCTTTATTATAGCCTATAATAGGTATCAATGATGTGGTACTTTTTTATTTTTATTTTCTACTAGTCAGTTCGCCAAATTAATATTATTTATTTAGTTAGTTGATATTTAAATTTTGAAATTACAAATTTAAAATTGTCATGTTACATTCAATTAGGCACCATTTTCTTTAAATGTAAACTGAAAAATTTAAATAAATAAAACTTGTTATATTMAAGCAATTCTTTAATTATTAAGTAAACAGTAAACACTTGTTAATGAAATATTAAAATTTGGTAATAATCAMATTCCCAAACGAACCAGACATCGGAAGTAGGAAACCGGGGTTCTCAACATTTATGAACGAAAAAATATTATAAATAAAATACTATAACAATTTTCAAAAAAATATGTAACAATTGACGAATAATTCTTGTTTGAATTTTCAAAAGTACCTATATTTKTATAAAAATATTTAAACTACCTACATTTACTCAAATACTTTACAACACTGGGTATACACTTATTACTGAAAGACCAACACTACAACAACTGCAAYTAAGTACAGTAAAGTTAGTATTAGCATTACAGTTCCGTCGTTCCGTGTTGCAGTTATTAAAACGGGCCGATATTTTCGGAACGTGTTTCCAAACGGTTTTGTGCAGATGAAGATTTTAACGCTATATAGACACTATAGTACTCTTAGATATTTGTCACCGTTTTTTAATTTACCTAGTTAATATATAACAAATTCCTCTAAAACATGATTTTTTTGCTCATGGGCCATGAGATATCATAATATTATGAAAGTTTCATAGTACCTATTATTCTTATATAAATATTAAATAATAGGTAATATTGGAATCGAATTTACCTTTCCACGTGGATGATGGATGCATATCTATTTATATGTCCTATAACTGTATGTCTGTATTATACAGTATATATATTTATTATTTAAGTACCTAATATCAATATTTAAAATATAGAACAGAAATGACAGCGAAAGTAAGTATGCGTCATTAGGTCTCAATGGTCTCATAAACATTGTCAATGTAAAAAATAATATTATGTTTGAATTATAGAGTAAGTCTTGTGTGCATAAGCAACTATTAATGATGGATCATAGATATCTACTATTATATTATTAGGTAATAAAAAAAGTATCAATATATAGTCAGTCATACTTTTTTCCGGCCGGGGTGATTAAGCCAATGCATTCGGCTTCGTCGTCGGATTCGGGACAATCTTCTTCGCCGTCGCACACGAGTTCCGATGATATACATTTGTTCGATCTACATATAGAAGAGATGTGTATGAAACCCTCGTTAAATTATTCATGTATACAACACCTATATATAGTGCGTGTTACACATGTTTTATGTTTGCATATTTTGTATTACTTACGATTGACAGTGATAAACGTTCGTTCTGTTGCAGTAACCAGGACAGTTGGCGAACTCTTCGTCCGTCTTGTCCAAGCAATCCCAACGTCCGTCACATAATCTTTCCGGGGCCGTGAGCTTTAGATAATCCACGCACGTGTTWTTCTCACATGTCTTTGGTTCATCGGTCCCGTCGCCGCAGTTGTTGAGTCCGTCGCAAAATGCAGTTTTCTCCACACATTTGCCGTTTGCGCAACGAAAACTGCCCACGTCGCATACTATGGAATAGTTTCGTATTTAAATACTTATACTAATATATTATATTACATAATATAATAAAACATTATRTACCTACATTGTTGCGGTACAGTACGACCTACCTAAGTATGTTAAGCATTTAAGTGTCATTATTGAGTAYGTACATTTATTACTATATTATCACTTATCAGTGTGTCATGAATAATACATTTTTTGTTAAGCTAAATCTTATATATATATATAATAAATCGTCGAATACGTGAATCATTAAAACGGCACACTTTTTTTGTTTGTTTTTGTACTTGAGAATCAAAATAAAAAATTGTGCGGATTAKCCGATCAGAGTCATAAACGTATTCCAATCGTTCTTTAAGACAATATTTTTATAATTTTTATTTTTATAGGTACGAGTATATAAAATAAGTGTAATATTTCTTCTTGTTTTCAAAACATGTCTATTTTTTTAATTTTACAGACGTTCTGCTACTGTCGACTAAACCAGTAATAAAATTGTCACTTTTTGTTTAAATAATATTTAAACAAAAAGTTTATATGCGGTCCCTTCCAAAATATTTGGTATCTTACATTTTAATAACAAATTTCTTATCTTACAATACTTTTTTAACAGCAGTTATTGTAGGTCTGTAGGACATTAACGTGATTTAAAAAAAGTCATTAGTGAGTCGTCCTCTTAAAGGTTTTYAGTATTGTTATAATTTTAATAATGACAATATTTCTTAGTAAGATTATTGATCGGTAAGCTAGATTACTATAACTGATTGGCAACTACTAAATAAATACCTAAATTATGATACAATCAGTTAAGGATAATTTTTGTTATAGAGCATTAGCCATCATCCCCTCTCCTACCGCACTGTACCCTTCACTCAATATTATATTAATACACTTTACGTAAGTTAAATTCATTACTGCATAGAGTGTTGTTGGTTTTGCATTTCTCGGTTCGCTCATGGCACATTTTAATGGTTTCGTCTTGTTCGTCACGACAATCTGGTACTCCGTCGCACACTCTTTTCCACGGGATGCACTCACCGAGCTCACAGCGTTTGCCACCACAAAAGGGGATGGGCATTATTTTCACACTTTCATCTACAAAACATAAAAACGTATACACGAAATATAAACGGACATATCATATTAAACAGGGTTTTACACGTAATGTCGCGTGTGATAAAAATGGCAGTGATTATGTCGCACACATTGAAAAGTTATGTACTTATATACCTATAAATTATGTACAGGGAGTATCTGACACTTGGAAGACGACACATTATTTAAATYGAATTTCAGTGGAAAATGTTTTAACTCTCCGGATATACATCATATAGTATAAATAATCAGTAATTGCTAATTACCTATATAATATGATGCGAATTGCCTACCTTATACGGTTTAATTTGACGTTTAATAAATAGCTGTGAATCGAAAAAGCATGGTTGCGTGTTATATTAATATTGGGGGCATTTATTTATAAATTAGATACTTGAGTATGATTTACCAATGATTTCTGCGATTTTGTTCATCAGACATTCAGCCATGGGTAGCCGGATTCGCACGTTACGATCGCATAGGTTCATGTCRGAYTGGATCGACGGTGCGGCTAGAAACAAACCGAAATTCGATTCACAGATGACCGCAGTCACGTGCGACATATTGTTTCCATTCTGAAATGACGTAGACCACGATTACGGCTAAGTTTATATACGGTAATATTATATATCTTGATGACCTAAATATTATCAAATATATACCTATATCTATATGCATATATAATACATTTTTCTGCAGTACATATACATGGTTGAAGGGCACTCAAAGAAATATCTTGTGTAGAATTAATAAAGTAGGTTTGTTAATTATTAACACACTAATTATTGTTGAAAATAAAAATATTTTGTTAATATAACAAACTGATTGTTCATTTAATAAAATCTTTGACAACTTCAATAAACTTAATTTGTTAATAATATGTATACAAMATTTTTAACGAAACTACCAATATTTTATAATTTTAACAAATTGTTTTAGTTATTTTAATGAACCTTTTAGTCAATTCAATTGACYCTGATGTCTGTTTATTTCTATATATACACWCACTGAACATTTAACAGACATCCCTGTTAAAACAAAAAACATATCCATTGTCTTAATCAAACCCCGGGGTTTACTTCCCTGATTTTTAACCATATGAAATCCTATAATGCACTGCAGGTGGTCCAGTGTACGGGTATGGGTACTTGTATGTAATATACTAATTACATGCATCTGTTTAAATGAATGTCGTTCTCTCTTATCCACACAAATAAAGTACCAAATAACTTTGATATTTCATTATTTCATATTAGAAATTATATTTCAATTTGAAACTTTCGAATTGCACTATTCAAATATTTTTTTTCGGTAATTTTTTCCTAATTTCATTCATTGATTATTCCATACATAATATTTTTGTCTTTTAACAGTGAAATAGAAAAAGTGATCTGCAGGTTACCTATACGCACTTTCAATAGCTTGTCAGTTGTCCGAGTCTAATACACGAACCTTGGTTATTACAGCGCAATAATATGGATTTACATAATGCGGCCACAGTATCTAATGGGTCAAGACTCAATGATGGTTAAAAGTTGTGTACACTTACTGAACACGATCGGGGTGTTTGTAACACAGTAAAGCATAACTCGTTAGATTCGTCGCACTGTCCGGCATCTGGCCGAAGGAAAGCAACTTCGGTTTTTTTGTTGTGCTGATCGTTGGTGTAGCCGACCGCGTAGCAAGTACCACTCGGCCACGGTGACGGCTGGAACGGCAGAACTCCCAACGGGGCCACACCTCTGCTCACGGTTGCTGGACGAGCCAAATGAAGTAAATCAAAATCTGTACCGGGAACTTCTTTGACTCCGTCGATCCGGACGATCTGTTCGTACGGCGACTTGATCCATATGATCGAATACGTGCTGCCACCCAACACTGCCGTCGCGTACGACTTGTTTAAACTTGAAAAATAATACAAAACGAACAATATAACGTTGGACATAATAAAAATTATTCAGGRATGATTTCCGTCGGGCGTTTGTTGTGCGCTCACTTTAAACCGGTTCTTTTGACAAGCACCCAAGAGTCCTTCAGCAGTACTCCGGACTGAACCAGTGTACCGTCCACTACGATGTCAGCGTGCCAATGGTACCGTTTCTCGTCTACCGTCTTCCTGCCACTRCATTTCACGAAGAGTCCTTCGCACACGTCGGTGATCTTCAACTTGTTCGTTTTCAAAGGCAGAGCACTGTCCCATGACATTCTCTTGGCATAGTGTTCCGAGTGACTGAGGACAACAACAATAACAAACAATGGACATTACAACGAAATCGGTTCCAACGAAACAAAGCTATACGCAAATCAAATAAGTAGGTAAACTGCCAAATTTATTACTTTGGCCTATATTATTGAGCCTTGATTATTTTATTTTTGTGCTTATTCACATTTAAATAGGGAGCATAAGGACTTGAACGATTTTAGTGGTTTTATAAGTTGTGACTTAAAACAAGATATTCGATTTTAGTTACGGGTTCGTAAAWAAATTTTTATAGGAGAGTATAAAATATTCACCCTTTTCTAAAATGAATACATAGATAATTTATACTAGTACTTTAAAATAATAATTTGTTTGTGTATAATATATTTTGATAGTAAAATGAAAATTGTCAGACTGTATTTTATGTTTCTGTTGATTTAGATTGAAATCGTATGTATATCCATGTAGGTAAATATAAATGTTGTGTACCTATATATTTGAGTATGATGCACAACATTTCAACTAGGAATGATTAATTTTATTTTAAAAATATATTTTAAGCAAGTACTAGGTTCCGGGGATTTATTAAGACTATAAAAAAAACCTCGTAACAGCCAAAAATATATTTCTAAATATTGCTTTTGGTTCATAAATAATTAAACAACAGTTTTGATTGAAATCTCAGTACCAAAACAAGTACTATTATGGTTATTTTCAGTTCGGTTTCAATCCTCGAGCCTCACTGTCTTATTTTAATATTGTATTACACGATAATTATATAATATAATATTGAATAGGTACGTACGAGTAACCTAGGTCGAAACACGTGTCGTGTGCSATCTTAACAACCGCCTCGTCTTTTATGCACCTCACCCTCCAGACGCCGTTGCGATTCACGGTCACCATGCCAGATTGTCGTAACGTAGGCCGTCCGGTCGCATCCGACGTCACAGCTGTAGTGCCGTTCGTGATCGCCACTGAAAATAAAACGGACAGACGGTAAAAATATGGTAAGTTTTTCAACCCGATCGTTATAAATTTTAGGTGGTATAGTTACCGCAGTATTTCTCGTCACTGCCGTCGTTGCAGTTCACGTGCCCGTCGCACCATGCGCTTTTTTTGACACATTTTATAGGCCAGCCGCAAGTAGTCTCGTCAGTTTTGCACTTGGGCGTTACGCAATTAGTCTCGTCCGCGCCATTGTGACAATCCACGATCCCGTCACAGATGGCCGACGAATTGTACATRTTCGCCAGTCTCGTTTTGCAGTCACAAGACTCTTCGTCCGTCCCGTCTTCGCAGTCTACCGTACCGTCGCAACGATGATTAGACAACACCACTTGAGTTATTCTAGAGACRGACACATCAACGAGCTTTAATATTATACGCAATAATCTTATCATTAATTTTAACTCCGTGACTTCGAACTTTTAGATATACTATTGGCTCTGGGTTTCGATTTAATTTTAAACATTGGTTTCTGCAGATCGTGGTTCTGATTTTGGTTTATACTTTATTGTGTTTTTAAATACACCCTTTTACATAACATTAATCCGCTAATCGATTTGTTTAAGTAAAAAAAAAAATTTAAAACCATCATAAGAATTATTATTAGGATTTAGGTATCAAGAGTTTATCGTAATAATKATGTGTTTTAAATATAATTTTAGATGAATAAATTACTAATATTTTTTTTTTTGATCGTGATGGTTCACGGTTCTGGTGGTAATACATGCAATAATATATTGTGTTGGGATTTAGTGTTTACTGTTTAGTTCTAAACCCGGTTAATTTTAGCATCATTTTTTATATTTTACCTTTTACARCTGAACGTTTTTTCGGTAAACTGGTTGTCGAAAAGTTGACTCAAAGCACTGAAAACCGTATCGTTTAGTCTAGTAATATTATTACTATTGTATTTTTCTTTGACGACTACTACAGTCGTACTAGTTTCGATTTTAATGACGTCTCTGTCCTGAGGATTAGCGTTGACATCGTATTTTAGTAATGGTGTTGTGTTTGTTCTTACAGACGCTAAAGTTGTCGGCGTCCGTTTTGTAGTGGAGATCGTGACATTTGTATTGATATCTCGCAGTGGCTGTCCAGCACTTTTTAATTTACTGTACTTTAAATTGCTGTGATCAGTGTTTCTCGACCGATATAAATTCACATGATACTGAGAACCGGTATAATCACAATTTTGTTCGTCTTCCGCGTTCATACAGTCCACATATTTGTCGCATTGACGTTTAGTCGGAATACATTGTTTTCCGGTTTTGCATCTGATTCCTGGACAATATTGTAGTGGACGGTTTTGTGGCAAATTGCTCTCTTCTGAAACAAAACATCATTTATTTGATTAGCCTTATAGGGAAAAATGAATATTGCAAAAAGCATCAACAAGAATAGAAATAATACAAACGTAAAACACGATTCAATTAATTTTCAACTCACCAGTAGCTTTAAAAATCCAATCCATATACAGCGCGACTCTAGTGTATACTCCAGGTTCCATAGGCCTCGCGCATCCTTCACCGTGGCTTACTATGCCGGCCACATACCATTTATTCAGATTGTTAGGCTCTCTGCAGAGCAGTGGACCTCCACTATCTCCTTGGCAGGTATCGTGGCCACCGCTCAAATATCCTGCACAAATTTCTCTACCGTCTATATCAGATTTATGGGTGCATTCGGCAAGAATCGGTACTTCTACTTCTCGCATGTTGTCGGCTAAAAAATGAAAATGAAAATAAAAACACAGTCGACCGTTTTYCACTGTTATGTTTGACTTACGGTCCGGTCCGTGTTCAACCGTAGCTCCCCAACCAACAGCTGTACACATTGTTCCCGGGAATGGAATCCAACTCAATTTATTATCGGGCAAGCACACTGGACGAATCCAACGGTTAAATTCTAGACTGCGATCCAATCTTAACACGGCCAAATCATTTACCATCGTCGATCTACTATACTGAGTGTGGATTATTGCATGCGTTACTATCCTCGATTGTTCCATGGGCGAAAACGAAAATCTTCTCAAAATTCCGGCTTGCACTTCATAAAAATGCTTCTCATACCTATGTATTACAAACGATTATCAAAACATTAATTCGAACATTTAAATTAAATATGACATTAGTTAAAACTTTAACAATATAATGATAATAGTCACGCGTAGAGTATATCACGTTCGGTCCTTACTGATTAACGCAGTGCGCTGCGGTCAACACCCATTGATCACTTAATATAACGCCACCACAATGGAATATGCCGTCCTGGTAAAGTGCAATGAGCCACGGCCATGCACCAGGATTGCTGGCGATACCTCCAACTACTCTAGGGTCTTTGGATCTCGTAAAGCGCGAGGTGATGTTACTTGATGATTCTAAATACGGGCTTCTTCTCATTCTATCGGGATCAATGTTTTTGTTGAATTTAAGATCGGAACGTATGCCACACATTTCTTGTTCGCATTCTACAAATATTCCTTGTTGTTTGCAATCGTCTAGTAATATAATTTGATTATTTCCGTCGATATTGATATACGGACCGTTATAAGCAGTCAGCTCATTCATATACCGTATTTTGTTTGGCCTAATTATCAAATCAAATATTTTTATTAAAAAAATAAATTATAACTTCAACGGAACAGTATAATGTTATATGACTAAATAGTTTACTTGGACATYTCTCCAGACTCAACCATACACGCTTTTTCCGCCCACGTGTGGATTTGATCGTTACCACACATTGGGTACCAATTTCCTTTCCAATTATGGTGCAAATAACCGGACGAGTATGAAATGAAAAATATCTAATATGTATAAAACACAAAGTATATAAATTATAATATAATATGTAATGTATAAATGTATTGCATACACYTATAACATGTATATAATTTTTAAAAGATTAAATTKTATAGAAACATTACTTAAAGTAAATATTATAGATACCTACACGAAACATTCATCATTTTTTACTATAATTGAAGCATTTTCACAACTAACAAATGTTTTCATAAATATAATACTGAATATATTTATTTATACATATTATCATCTTCTTTCTATTGTCTGGTTAAAAACGAATACATTATTTTTTTAATCATAATTATAATTATTATATATTTTTAAATATAAAAATATTAATATACCATTATTCTATTCTGATATAACTAGTTAAAATTGCTTGCTATCATTTAATGCTTAAATTGTATTTGTATAGGTGTAAATATTACAAATTTAAAAACTCTTTGGGCATTTATCACCATATATTATTATACCTATCTTTTACTTAAAGTYTTATCTAAAGCTAAGGCTTGAAAATGTAATGCTAAGTTTCACGTAAGTAGATCATACCAAAACTCAATATTTTTATTATCATTTGAAGTTCAAATCTGTACAAAATTATACATTTAAATTTTAAACAAATAATAACATTATTAGTTATTTTGTAGTTATTCAAAAATATTTTTTTATGTGGATTTAAAATGTTTAGGTAAATACATAATTATATTTTAGGTAAACGAAATTTTCAAAACTTTAAGATTAATTTTAAGCTATTTCCTATTTATACAACGAGCCTATTTTGTATTCACCACAATTTTACACCGTTCTACGGTTAGGCGGTATTTACTCAAAAGTTAATAAACAATAATAAAATATAAATATTATATTACCTGTTAGGTTTATAAAAATAATTAAATATTAATAAATACAATGTTTAAAAGTRATAATAGATAAAATAAATATTATAAAATACACTTAGTAGTATAGGCTGACAGACTGTCTTTGTGCAGAACGGTTTTTCGCATGTAATGATTTATCATTGAATTAAAATGTCACGTCATACATAGTACATTAAAGTGATTTGTTAGTGATTAAGTATAGGTACCTACACAGTACACTCGACACAGTACAGTACACCACTATAGCGGTTACTTGCTTTCCTTCGTTCGTTCGTAACTTATTTAATTTATAAATTATTGGATTGATATTATGAATAATAGTTAATAATAATAGATAATACATWAACAGCAATTTAACGATTTTGTTAAATAAATGTATTTTAAATAAAGCGTTTTAATAGTAGAAATTAAAAGTATTGTCTAGTTRAAAAGCTACAGTTGATATAGAGTACATACGGGGGTAGGAATTTAGTTTATAAATAGGGAAAAAAAATTTTAATAGTAGATGGATGTTAAAAATTAAATTAAATTACAATGCTATCTTAAATTAATGTATGGTTTATATAAAAAAATTCTCATTAATACTTACTTGATTCGGATTTTCGAGGTGTCTAGATAACAAAGTGCATTCGTCTTCATCGCGGCTGTTGGGGCAATTTGTAATGTAATCGCAACGATTTTTTCTTTCGAAACAGCTAGAACGCTGTAAAACATTATCCCAATCGCCACAACTAAACGTTTCGTTATTACAACCTATAAATAATAGATTTTCCAAATTATACGTGTATGTATTTGAATTTGAATTTATTATTGAATAAATRATTCAAATAAAATTTAATAAATTAAAATCCAAAATTATAGATGATAATATTTCTATATTGCGTGTATGTAATATCTATTTTATTGGATACACATTACACATTACATAATATGAGGGACATAAAATGATTTGTCGGTAACAATATTAATTGTTAGGAATCAGTGCTATATAAATATATAATATTATATAGATACCTATAAATATATAATATATTATGTGACGTACCGAAACAACCCAATTCGTCTTCTCCACTCGGACAGTCGTAATATCCGTCACACAATTTGTCTTTGTCTATTCGTTGTTTGCAATCGCACTGGCTTTCATCACTCGCGTCGTTGCAATGGATTCGGCCGTCGCACCAGTTTTCGGTGTCCACGCATCCGGAATTGTCTACACACGGAAACGTATTCGACGGACAATCGAGATTACCTGCGGACCAGACACACGTAGTCGATTAGTTCGATTATAATGTAATACTATAAAGTTAATATTATGTTACAATATGTTATTATTAGGAAATAATATATWCTAAGTGATATTAGGCGGAATTATTTATATATTTTGTTTYATTACCCGTCAAAATGTCGCCGTTGTTTCTCGCAACGCTTTTGGCGTCGCTCGTCACCGCGGCTGCGTTTTTCGTGCTGTTATAAAGGTTTTTTATTGTTTGGTTTGAATTATTTTCGTTGTTTTTGTTTACGTCCACGGAATACATACAGTGCAACCTGTTCGGTTGTCCCGYGAAATCGGCAACCGAACAAACCACGTCCGTTCGACAAATCAACAACACCGGGTAATCGTTTTGAATGACAGTGGGCATGGGTGGTTTTCGTTTGTACGTGCTCAGCGACTGTGCCGTGTACTGTATTGGATTTTTGCTYGTGTCTTGCAGCTCATTAACTTGTTGATAGTTAACTATGTTTGGTGAACACGGTGCTGGGTAAAAGCATATTGGATACGGTTTCGGCTGTACTTTTAGTTGCTGTATCACTTCAGGTTGCTGCAGGGCACTTTTGTCGCCGTCGTCTTTGTTATTCAATGTCAAATGTTTAACGTTTTCTGTGTTAGTGTTACCTGTCGATTGATTAGTGTTTTGTCCGTCTTTATGATTATCGAAATGTTTTTCATCGCGGTCTTCCGATGAATTTCTTTCATTTACAATTGTTATATTATTGTTTTTATTAGAAACCGGCATTTCCGATACTATAATGTTTTTGTTTTCAAACATCAAATCAACTGTTTTGTTTGTATTATTAGTGTTACTGTAATTATTGCTGCCACCGGATTTTGATGTTTCTGTAATTGATTTCGTAGTATTTTCAATTTTGGATGTCGATTCTGAAGTTTCTTCTGTAACATATGTTTCTGAATAATTGTTTTCGAGTTCTGATATTTCTGTAGTTGATCCTGAAGTATTTTCATTTTCTGTTATCGATTGTGGTGTTTTTTTTAGATCATAATATGTTTTGCTATGATTTATATCAAGTTCTGATATTTCTGTAGTAGATCCTAAAATATTATCATTTTCCGAAGTCGATTCTGAAGATTTTTCTAGAATATTCGAGTTCGAAATATTTTCATTTTCATAGAGTGATCCCGAATTTTTTTTAATAATATTATATATATTGCTATGATTATTTTCCGGTCCCAATATTTCTGTAGTTGACTCAGAAATATTTTCATTTTCAGATGTCGAGTTTGAAATTACGTCTTTATTCGAATAGTTATCTGTGTGTATAGTGGTTATTCTGTCGTTATTTAATTCTGTCGTTCCAATAGTTTCGTTTGGATCCTGTGTTGAACTTGTTGCCGTATCGGAAGTAATATGTGTTTGCATGTCYTCATTATCTAGACTGCCGGTAAAATATATTATTTTTGGTCCAAAAGTTGTTCGAGTATCATCTTCACGGTTCACTATATTAGTTACCGCAATGGACATTTCCGGTGATAGGTCTCCTTTTGTGTCGACGGTTCTATCAGTGTTTTCTTGGTTAGTGGTACTTTCAGGTGTCGATGATAACATAGTAGTGAATTCTTCTTCGTTCAAAGTTGAAGTAATAATTTCGTAATCCGAAACACTACTTAATTGATTGGTTGCACTTTGAGGTGTGTACTTAGAAAATATAATTTTTTTTAGTTGTTTCGTTTTTTCACCCATGACAGGCGCATGTTCATTTAAATTTACTGGTGTAAATGTTGTTAGATCATATGATAGTTTGGTTAATTTTGAGTCTTCTGTTATTGTGTCGACAGTCGTGATAGAGTCTGGTGGACATTTACAACGGCATATGCCATTATCATCAATCGTTGATAATGCTTTAGATATCCGATTTAAGTCCTCGTAGATTTTATTGAACTTCCCTTTCATTTGTACACAGTCGACAACCGTTGTTTCTTCACGCAAACCCCGTTTATCCCGATTAAACTGAACATCTAACCGATTTAGACTATTGTGTAGCCTTTTAATTTCATACATAAGATTTTTTAATCCGTTATTTATCTCACACGATAAAGATATTTCTTGTTGATTAACGTCATCTGAAACCGTCTGAAAATGACTATTATTATATGATTGGGTTACATAAGATATTGTGCTGGAACTCTCTGATTTAACAAGATTTTCGACGTTGAGCGGTGATCGTAATGTTCTATTTAAATTATTATCAGTATTTGAATCCCTACCTGAAATATTGAAATCCTCGTTGAAAATAATATGTCAGTGTGCTATATATATATGTATATTATTTTAAAGTCAATAAAATTATAGAATTGTGGGACGTACCTTGATTATAAATATCATTTACAGCGTAAAATGTTAATAAACMGATAAAAGTGGTTGAAATCAATATTAATAAAATAAAGTATTTTCTTTTCCAAAACGGCATATTATTTTCATATAGCAATTTTATAGTGGAAGAATTGATATTGGACATTCCTATACCTATATGTGGACGAACGAACTACATTAATTTGCACTTATAATTATTTGAATTTAGAATATTTCTGACCTGTTTAATAATATTGTTGAATTAATTTGGTGTTGGTGGTGGTATAGATTTTCTTCAGATACAACTCATAATAGTTAAAACTTCAGTACACTATAAACTATTATACGTATTTAATAAAAACAAATTAAAATATATATTTTTAACGAATTTATAAAAAAATTATTTTAGAAATTAAAATATATTTAGTATGGAACTCCGCACATTTCACGATGATAGTTGTTTGGCGAATACGTATGAAAGACTGAGGGCAGTTATTTGCTGAACTGACACTTGTTAGTAGCACATAATACGAAAAAAAAAATCGAAAAAAATGACAATACATACATCATGTTAATAGAAATATTGCTTCATTCATTGACGTCTGAATTTGTATTAAAATGCTTTGCGTTGCATTAATTTTATGTAATTACTGTTGTTGGGTGTTTTAAAAATGCAGGACAACAACAATATGCATACCTCTACTATAGTACCTACATAATTGAGGAATTTTTTTCAAAAAAAAAAAAGAAAAACCGTTTKGTTTGATTCACATATAAGTATATATTTTAATACTCACCAATACTTAGGATAATATTTATATTCAATTACTATGGTGTTTTATCAAATTTATGATAGAAAATATTCTAGATTTATAAATTAACACATCATATACTACATAATATGTTTTGTATCGTTTTATACAAATTATATAACGTAAGAGAAACGTTCAATAAGCTTCTAAACTCTGGGTAGTGGCTATGGTACCAATATAGTTTCTTAATACCATAAATGATGATATATTTAAATATTTGAAATTTAAAGTTATTACATTTTTATYCTTCGGGTTATAATAATAATTTTTTGTATGTACCTACGTCCTACATTCTAAGTACAAAATGTATAACCCTTATTTGAGTTTATAAAATAAGTTAGATTTATACATAGACAAAAATTGGGTTGAAATGTAACCTGCTAGTATTGTATACTAACCAATACTAGTTCAGTTGCTTTACCTATGATCTACTTACCAAATTAATTAAGTACAAATAATTAAATAATTAAAATAGCCAATACATACAACATAAATTATTCTTTATTAGACATGGAAAGAAACTTTTATGACATATTTTTATTTATTGACATAAAACTATTATATGTAATATAATATCTTGATAGATATATTACATATAAAAATGTAATACACACTCAAATAATATCCTATAAATTGTTATTATCAGCATTTAGTTAAATTTGTATCACCTCCTCCCGTCACCGCACCATCACATATACAGTATACACCAGTTTACCACCTGTTTGCCCCCTACTGATATTACGTACTTATTCGTACCCGTGTTCTACGCCTCTACGATACGTTTTTATTGGCATAAAAGTTAATAATATATGATATAGGTGGTATTACTATAAATTATTGTAAATATTTTTAAACCCTGACTGAATTATCTACGGCTAAAAATTAAATAAGGTACTTAGAGTTATGAGTACATGAACAAATTATAAAATATCCTTAAAAATAGAGACTCAGAGTTGTTCTTTATTATATGCAATCAGTTAACTTTGGATTAAAATTTTGCTCTTAGATTACAGTGACCTATTCGATTAATGACGTCATTTGTAAAGGGGGCAGGGTAGGCATTTYCCCCCCTCCCTTATTATTAGCGGGCCGCTGTCGGGCTGCAAGCCCGCCATGAATTAATATTTCAAATTATTTCATTAGCTTCACTAATATATTTAAATTAAGATTTTGACATGTTTAGTGCTATGAAGACTAGAAGATACCCAGTTAATGCCTAGCATCTAATATTCTTACTATCTAAGTAACTCTTTAAAAACATGAATTAATAATAAATATTTAGTAATTTTATTGTATGTTTTAATTTAKTTTTTGTAAATACATTTATATTAAAATTTGGCATAAATAGGACATCAATTATTGGGGTAAAATTCCTCTCAAAATAAGTCATCACATAATAGCTCATATGTGATATTGGGTATCCCTCTACAATGTACATAGTATATATTATTATATATGTTTAATAATATGTATTATTTAGTCATTATTATCCTCAAAAAGCGAGTTATTTATGCCTTATCTTAGATAAACGTGATGGTAAATTAGTAACTATAGTATGTATAAAATTATGTAAAAAGGCTATTTGTATTGAGATAAAAATGTAATTGTAATGTAATTGTTAGAGAGTGGTTTTTTTTTAGTTATACTATGATGGGCTGGTCAAAACTTTTACCCCCTTCACAAAAACTGAAATGACACCACTGTATTCGATTACGTTGAACCCTCAACAAATAATATAGTAATACTAAGTAGAGCGATTTCCCTGGTATTTTACTAGGTATTATTTATATAAACGATAATATATACGTAATCTCTATAAAGGATAATATATACCTACGACTTACCTAATAAAATTTGAATTGCCGAATGCCCACGATTCTACCTATTATATATTTATATTATATTATGGATAAAACCATAAAGGATATACATATTTATTTTATATATTTAATTGTCAATGTTATTAAAACATTATACATACATATATAATGTCAACAGAAAGTTTCATTAGTCTAAAACGGAAAATTAATGAAATATGGTTATCATGAACAGTATTTATTTAGGTAATATTATTATGGACCTATGGTATTCAACTATAGTAAATACAGATATTTCAAAATATTACTGAACKAAAAATTACCAACTCTCCCTGGCATACATAACAAATCTAAAAATCACACCATTTACACGAATCTCCGAAAAAAATCGTACAAGAAGTAAAATACTTCTAAAGTGTTTTCACAATAGTTTCGTAGGCTGTATGGCTCATAAATATCCATTAATCTAAGATTTATCATCCAATGTAATGTAGGTAATTTTTCATAACATCTAAAAGTAAATGGTACAGAGACCTCTTAAACAATTAAATAATAACTATTTGAATTTAACCAATTAAAAAAAAAGTAAGGATCATTTCAAGGTGGCTTCTTCTATGAAGTATGCAATGTCACTGTAAAATAGCATAATTTCTGTGACTGTAACTCAGTATACAGGTTGTGTATATTTTTATAAAAAAWTTTWAAAAAAGTTAATGTTATAAGTGTTAACCTTGTCAGGAACATTATAAATGACTGTTAGGTATGATCTATATGCAAACGATTAATTTAATCGTATACATAATGATATTAGATAAATGTATTTATATTTTATAATTCAATAGATTAAAATAATCTTGTTAATTATCTATAGTTGAAAATTTATTTAAAAAAGTATTTTTGAATTATGTATCGGAAAAAATTAATTTATTATACTAACAAATTCATGGTATGTTAATTATTTKATCGTGTTTCTAATATGTTATAGGCGCGAGACACAACATTTAAAGAATTTTAATGAATAATCAATTTATAAAATTACATTTAAAGCCCGGAAATGAAAAAAAAAACAATTTTAACAATGAAGTGACTAAACATTTTTATTTRTTTTCGTTTCAGTAGGTAATACTTRCAGATTTGAGATTTTTAAGGATTATAAAATTATAGAAAAACATAATAACATAGGTTGTAAGGATTAGTTGAAAAAATTGTTCTTTAAATTTGATTAGGTGACTTATAGCTCTTTTAGATAGGTCGTTACAGTGCAAGGTGACGATGATGTGTTTATCAAAATCTTATTATAATTTTGGAATTAAAAGAAAAAAAGAAATACTTTTATAATAATATGTAGGTAATTTGGAAAAAAATAAAAAAAAAAATGAAAAGGCAAAAAAAATATTCGACTAAAACGGAAATTTTTGATGACGTATAAACGTGAATATTGTTCTTGTTCACAATTGATAATATAATATTTTAATTAAATGAAAATACAATACCTAATAATAGACAATAAATTATCATTTACTTTTGGTTATTTTTAACTTGGTAACATCAAATTTTTAGTTAAGATTTCAGTTCCACTTTCCCGTGTGCGGTCTTAATAATATTTAGTGTGTTCTGAATGTAATTGTATATTTATTTTAATTTTAATAATCCTATATTTATTTAACCATCAATCATAAAATATAAATTCAATATAAAYATGAAATAGTTACGTTACATACAATCAATATGCTAATCAGTAACTCTGCGGAGATATAAATCTAAAAAAAATATTACCATGATTGCAATAATTGCAATTTTGTCTTTAAATGTTTATTAAATATCATATATACATACATATTACATATGTATTGTTTCAATGAAACTTTTCTGAACATGGCAACACTTTTTTTAATATTGTGATTAACTAAAATTGAATAATTATCTCAATTTTGTCTAATTTGTGGGAACGCATATAATTAAACATTTATTAATATATCTATTACCAACCCATACAGCAAAAATATAAAAAAAATAGGTAATTCTTTACAATAATTTTAAAATTAAAAAAAACAATGGTTGAMTTTTTAAAGTTTAAATTCTATAATTATTATATTTAGTTAAAATCTATTTACATTACTTGGTGAATCTAGAACAAATTATGCAATAATTAAATCAAGGATGTATTTAAGAATTGTCAGGTTTAAACTTCTAAAAATAATTTTTATGATAAAATTAACTTATAAAAAGAATGGTAAGCAAATGGCAATTGAAAAATTTAAATTTTCGTGAGTTTATTTTTAGTCTAAAAATCATAGACTCGGCTATTATTATGAATTATGATTGTACGCGTAAATATTATGTAATAGAAATTTTATTTATTAAAAACGTCATTTATTTTTCTTTACTTAAGAAGCATAAAAAATAAGAGGAATTTGATTTA